CAAGTAAACGACTTTATGAAACAGTATCTAGAGGTCAAGACAAATTAACAAAATCTTGAAAGTTAATGTGTCTTGCATTTTCAGTAATTAGCTTTTTGATATACTTTGTTCAAAACTTTTGTGTAATCGAGTTTGGGTTTAGAGTTGATTAGTTTCCAAGCCAGCAATTTTATGGAACAGTGTTCTGAGTGTTCTCAGTTTCATGGCAAAATCAGAATCTTGAAAATTTATTTGTGTCTTGCAGTTGCTCCTGTTGCTGGAGTCTGAGAAACCGGTGATCATCACCGGAGCTGCGTTAGGAGGAGCTGTTGCGTCTCTCTTTACGCTTTGGCTACTAGAAACTATCGATCCGAAACTAAAACGTCCCTTATGCATCACATTTGGCTCGCCTTTAATCGGTGACGCTTCTCTGCAACAGATTCTTGAGAATTCCGTGAGGAATTCATGTTTCCTTCACGTAGTTGATGCTGCACAATCTCTCATCACGGCAGGTTTCAAACCTTTTGGAACGTTCTTGATCTGTTTTGACTCCGAATGTGTTTGCATTGATGACCCTGAGGCGGTCATGGAGTTGTTAACCGGTGATAATACTGATCTAGTAGACTACGGTGAAGTTCTACATCGTCTGGACCGATCGGTGTTGTCTATGGCGGATTCAAGACTGATGATTGACGATGTTATCGAACGAATGGAGGAGCGTGCGGAAAAGAAGAAGCTGCGTTTTGATTCGTTTAAGAAACTAAACGAGATGAAGATATCAATGGTGTATATGGAGTGGTACAAAAAGAAAAGCAAGAAGGTCAAGATTGGTTACTACGATCGGTTCAAGTCTCAAAGCGCGTCTCCCACTTCAGAGTTCGATATTGAAATCAAGAAGCGCAAAACAGAGCTAAACGATTACTGGGAGTCGATAGTTGAAGAAGTAGAGAAGAAGCCTCAGAGCGATATATCGATTCTCAAGAGACGGTTTCTATTCTCGGGGAACAATTACAGACGGATAATCGAACCACTCGACATTGCTGAATATTACCTCGATGGTGGGAAAGAGTATCGAGCCTCGGGGAGGTCTCGCCACTATGTTATGCTCGAGAAATGGTTTGGAAATGAATCGATAAAAGCGACTAGAAGTGCAAGTAGCGATTTGAGTGATCTTTTAACGTTTGATTCTTGTTTTTGGGCTGAAGTTGAGGAAGCTATGATTGTAATCAATCAGCTGAAAGCAGTCAAAGGGATGAGAGACGAGGTATTGATCGCAAAACTCGTGAAGTTTGAGGGATACGTGTGGGGGTTGATCGAAAAACGTGAGGTTTCGCCGGAGATTTTCTTGGAGAAAAGCAGTTTCATGAGGTGGTGGAAAGAGTTCAAAGAGATCAAAAGAAGAAATGGGTTTAATTCTTCTTCACCTTCACAATTCACAGATTATATGAACGCTAGGAACTACGAGAGTTATGGTCAGTTTGCTAGAGAGCAATGGTTTACGCCTTAACAAGTATTATCAACGGGTGATCTGAGATCAAAACTGATTATGGATATAAGGTTTGGATTCTTCTTATTAACAAAAAGAAAGTAAAAAAGATATGGCCAGTAAAAAAATCTGTTACATTGTTTTATTTACAACGAAAATATTGTCATTGGGTGCAATTATTCTGTACAAAAATAATCAAGAGAGCCGGCGATACTGGTGTGTTTTTATTGTATTGATCGATTCATTTGAAAACCAGAAAAACCCTAAGCTGCCGCCCTATCTCCTAAGCTTTGACCGGCGTCCGGTACAGCACCGGCGGCTAGTAAGACTTCGCCCATTATTTCCTCATCTTACTAGGTCTCTTGTCTCATTCTTTTAGCTTCGTTGATTCGTTTGTTGAAGGTTTCCTATCTGGATTTTTGTTTTCCGGAAAGGTGAAGTTGTAGGGGTAGATATAGGAGCCGACGGTCGACGAAGTGGTTAGGCCATTAACTCCTTATATCACAACTTACGGCCACTTCTCCAATCTCCAGATCTGATTTTACTTTGGTTTGTGAGATGCGACGGTGATGCTGGCGGTGGTGTGTTTGCTCCGGCGTCCCCTATCCGTTTTAGGTTTTTTTTAGGCTTTAACCAGTTTATGACGACTTCGCCAGATTCGGAAGTTCACTCCAAGCTTTGTTCATGGAGGCGTATAATCGGTTTATTCGAAGTAGACTTATTCGAAGTAGACTTATTCTACTATATGAGGTTTAATAAAATTGTGATCCAGCGTTAAAAAATAATAATCAAGAGAGCCTTCACTAAATCTTTCACTTTCACTTTCACTTATGGTGTTTGTAACAAAAACAAAATTGATGTTTTGTAAACAAGCATTTACATATTTACTTTCAAAACAGGAAACAAATTAACGAGAGATAAAAAAAAGGAACAAATTTCTCAGCACTCAGTGATTCCAACATCCACATCTCAGCAACAATTTTAATATGAAATTTCATATACACTTTTTAGAATATGAAAGATTATGGAAATCGATCTGACTCTTTCCTTTTCTATAAATTGTATTTGAAATTTGGTTTTACTTAAATAAACAAACGTTACATCACAAGTAATACAACTTGTAATTTTT